CCCCCCCCCCCCCCCTAGGCTGAGCTGATAGGCCGGGCCAAGGGCATGTACGCGGCCCTCAATCTTAGGCTCGGAAACAGCAAGGAGGCGTTTTTCTTCGGATCGAGACCTACTTCCCTCGATGCCGTGGTTTTCGGGCACCTTGCGGAGGCGTGGACAATAGCAGCGCTGCTGGACCTGCTTCCCGCCTTCGACAACCTGTCTCGGTGAAATACTAGCCCCTCTTGTGTCTTTTTTATCTGCGTGTGCCTAATTTTTTTGTGGCCATCGACCGCGCTTACCGGTCAGCTATTGGAATACGGTCAGTCTTTGCAGGGGGATAACAACCCCAACACGCTTTCTTCTTAAAAGTGTCCTGTGTGTGTGTCTTGACTATTGGCATCGACCATGCTATCCGACTGACTATTGAAAAGAAGTCAAGTGCCATGGTCTAGTCCCCTGCGTGTCTATTCATCTATCTAGGCTGGCGCCAGCGTACGCATCATTTGGTGCGGTACATGCTTGACGCATCAGTAGGGGGTCAGACGGGAGCCGCTTTTTTTGTAATTTCTCATGTTTCTCATTTGCCCGACCTTCTTCCTACAGGTCGTTGCCTTAGTTTCGTCCCGATATTCGACCGATGTATGTGCTCCGCAATCGTGCATCGTATGTTTCCTCTGAAGCATTGCCATTCAACAATTACAGTTTTCGCTTCGTGCTGATGCCGACCGACGTGCTGCCCTGTGTTATTGCTGCCGAGCGCTTCCTCAGTGTGCTTTTGGTGCACGACATTGTGTGCCTGCTGCTAATGCCCACGTCTGTGAGGGTGGTTCGAAACATTCATTTTCGTTGTTTCCCTTGAAATGCGCTGCACAGCCTTTTCCGACGTGTGTGTAACGACTACTTTCGGCCGGGATCATTCCCGCCTCCATCGTCCGGCTGCGACGGAGTTGGAGAGGGCAAGAAAAGCGGCGAAGAACGGAGTGGTGATGGCGTGGGTGGGAGCGGTGGCAGCGAGGACCGGCTGAGGGACGCCATGCTTAGAGCGGACTACGTGAACTCCCTTAACGCTTTCAACCAGCTGGCGGTGAGACCGATGGCGTCATTGGGGAGTCGCAGCGCCTGGGAAAGGCAGCAGCACAGTCGAGTAGTTGAAACATGATCGATTGTTTTGAAAGTGGCTGAAAGAGCGTCGACAAATCAGCTGGCAGATGCTGAGCATTGGTCGTATGAAAACGCCGCAATGCATGAGTGAAAATTGCTGTCTGGCCATCGCATTGTCGTTTGCATTTGTTTTTTGTTCCGACATTTGCTGCAATTGCGACATGTGCTGCAAGGTACAACCTTGATTCACTCGCCAAACAGCGGGTCTTTTGTTCCCTTCGGGTTCAGGTTTTTGATCAAGGCAATGAGTGTGAACAAAATACGGCGTCTGCCGGCCGGTTGTGCGCGTGCTGCTTGTGTTATTCTATCCCCCTTTGTCCTATTGCGCGTTCTCTTTGATTTCGCTCGTCCCCTTTCGATCCCGCAGGGATGTGCTCTGTGCTCCGAAGTCCCCTACATCGAGGATCCCTATCCCCCAAGACCGATCGCCAACGCCGGTATACCGCCGCCAGGTGAACCTGTTAACCGACAGCCTGGGGTCCGTCCGTCCACTCTTTTTGCTTCAGCGATTGCGCTGTTTTCGAAAGAGAAAACATGGAAAAAATGTAGCCAGGTCCCAGCGGGAGGCGTGTGCCCTTGAAAGCAATCATTTGCCCCCATTTTTTGCGAGGGAAGCCACGCTCACCTACTTTCACCTGTGTACTGTCGTCTCCAGTCAGCACTACGTTCTTCGATTCACTACAAGCCGGCAACCGGCTGGATCTCGCGGAAGACAAGCTCGAAGAGAATCAACCGATCGTCGCTCTGAAACTGACTTTTATCTGGAGTCGTACATTCACGGCACGCCATCGCCTCCCTTTTTTCTCTTGTCCCGTGCTTCACTCACTCTTTTGTTTATTGGCACGCATCTTTGTTCCGGGTGGATGCATTGACGGATATTTTAACGTTCAGTCCTTGCGGGAAACTTGCCCGGGGTCGGAGGCGCGGAAGGAGCTGCCGCGGCCGGGAGAACCACCGCGGCGGCGACGGCAGCAGCAGATGCAGTGGACGGGAAAGCAACGGCGGCGAATGAATCCCTCCCCCTCAAGTACACCGTCGTCTCCGTTGCGGCCTTCATGGTTCTTTCGTGAGTTTATTTACGTGCAACGGCTGCATGAAAGTATGGAAGGATCTTCAAAGATGTCGACGGTCAGTTCATTCATGGATCGACCACGGCCGGCACCGTTTCGTGTGCACGTAAATACTCGTGAGTCCTCTGCTGTGACAGGTAGGATTGTGTACGATTCAGAGTCATAAAAATCCATTTGGACCTCTCAGCACCACCGAACATGACATGTCTTCTTCTTGCACTTCTCGAGCACCACCGTGCAATAAGAGAGCAAATCTACCCGGCATTTCCGTCTGCGTTGCTTCGTTGTGTTATGGTGAGCCCGTCGACCGTTAAACCGGTTGTGCGCTTTTCTCGCGCCCTACGTATCCACCTCCTGCAATTTGTTTCGCCTGGCTCGTTTTTTGTAACCTACGGCCTACTTTCGTGCGCGCTTGCTGTTGTTCTGAAAGCAACATTCTGTCGCGGGGGTGACGGAACGTTCATTCTGCGGAGCAATCGCTACTGCAATTAGGATAAGCGGCGACCGCCGCTCCGGAGATGTGATGGGAGTCGCCGTGGCGTAAGCCTTGCTCGGTGGCCAGCCACTTTAGGCGAGAGTTGCTGAGGACCAACCAGAGCCACACACGAGGGGGGGAGATGGACGGCCTCTCTTCGATCGTGCTCCCTTGCACTTCAGCGCTTCGGCTGGCCGAAACTAGCGATCAAGGGGTTGAAAGGGAGCGTGGTAACACATGGAACCCGGCGAGACTTGGAGAGACCTTAGACGAATGATGCAAATCCGTTTCCGTGCATGGACCAGAGTTAACAGGTCGACTTGGTTTGGCTCACCATAGAGCAGCGGTACAAGCGCAATGAGCAGCACCCGATAAAAGGACAGCACACTACGGAGGATCCGTCCACCGGGCCTGCTGTTTTCAGTTTGAAGCAACAACAGGCGCAGGGCAGAGTGTCGCAACCTCGGTGTTGCTTGGGATTTCTTCAGTTTGCTGGGTCCTTTTTCACGGTTGCGACTGTCATCTTTTACCACCACCTGCCCAAAGGTCGACGAGCTCAACAATCATACGGCAGCGGCGCTGACGGACAACATCATAAAGACGACCAATCCGAAAGAATTAGCTTATCGGAGGCCCTGTTGCTCTACTGTTACGTGGTGCCGTGGATTGATGTCCATGTGTCCGACAAATATCTCAGGCAGGAACCGCAGGAGGGGGTCCAACCCCCCCCTCCTGTGTGACCCCGGTTGGGTCGTCTAGCTAGTAGAAGTGGAGGATAGGGGCCAGAGGGGCAGACGCCAGAGTCCAATGATTGGAGAAAAAAAAAGAAAAATATCATCTCGCCACATTTTTTCCAACGGCATTTTGGTGAGGTGGCACACGTCTCTCACACACCTTCGTGAGCAGCACCCAAGCCCCCAATACCCACGAAGCAGCACGGCGCCGGGAGTGAGTATCATATAGACAGTCGAACCGAAGAAATCAGCGCGTGGGAGGTCTTGGCGCTGCTTGCTGCTGTGTGTACTCGTTCTACTGTTTCCGTGTTTGCTATGTGTGAAAAAGTTTCTCCAGCACCAACAGCAGCAGTTGACGAGAACACCACGCAATGTCTCGTTTTGGACCAAGAACGGGCTGAGCGCGACTTCTGCCGCTTGTCCATCTCCACAATAGTAGACCTGGACGTGAGGCTGACAGGTCTTGCTAGCGTTCTCAGTGATGCAGCAGCGCCCTCGGTGCGCCTGCCCGACCCTTGTGTCAAATCCCCGGATCCGTGAAAGCAGCAGCAGGCCCGAAAAAATCCCGGCTCCTTTTCACGAGGAGTGCGGAGAGAAACGCCTCCTTCCTCCATATATTTGCAAGAAAACACGCTTCCTTGGTGGAATTTTCCGTGTTTTTTTGTCGTTAACAATAGATCTACCCCTTACTTAGCAGCCGCGAAGAGTTGTTTACCGCAAGAGTATTCAACACCATTCACATTAAAGATAGAAGGCGTTCGTTGTGAGAAAACCGACGGGGCTTTCCAGAATAACACCATACATACCAGGCGTGCAATACTCCTTGCTCAAGTCAAACGCGGGCGGTGTAGACTACACCGGGCGTGCGTCGGTCGGAGGAAAGAGGTAGATACGAATACCAGCTAAGCGGAGGAGGGGGGCTTCTGTTGCCCGCAGATCTCTACTCTAGACTACGCACAGCGCAACCAGGCGGTGTATGGTCTGTACGACTTTCGCTAGGATCCATCACGTTGGAGACATGACGGGTCCCCCCGGACGAGGGTGGCGAGTTTCTCGTTGATTGTTCAACGAGGGGCGCAATCGAAGCGTCCTCCGAGTACGGCTTTGTCAACACCTCCGTGGTTACGGTTGGGGACCGCTCAGCTTTGGTACTCCGCGAATCGCAGCCCACGGGAAAATCGACCCGTGTCTTTGTGCACTTGTTGTGCCTCGCGGCGAGTGACTGTTATCACCGTCTCCGTCTCGACTTCCATCGGCTTTTGCGCGCTAGGCTGTCGATGAACCGTACGCAGTGGACATGTCCAAATCACCGCTCGAGGTGGCTAAACCCGGCGACGCTTCATCTATTGTCGACAACGTACCCTAACGGTCATACACGAGGACGTCAGAGCGGACCAAGAGGGCATGCAATAATAGACAATCCCGACCTTCCGTACCAGCAACTCAAACCGACCCGTGCATTCGTGTAGCCTACACGTAGTAATGGGTTACATGGGCTGGTTCGCGGGTGGCAATGTGTTGTAGTAATCGTGTGTTGCGCACACGCTGCTCGAGCATTGCGTACGCTCGGGGAGCAGCCTTCAATAGAGGTCAATCCTTGAGGTCCTCATCTTGGTGTGTGTGTAGTAACGACAGCGCTAGAGCCGCCGTCATCGGGAGTGTGTACTATACCGTCTTCACCTAATGAGGCCGAAGCACTATCATCGCATCTAGAAAAAGTGTCTTTGGTATGAACAGGAGTGATGCAATGCACTAGGGAACCTCTGCGTCAGGGAGGAACCGTTGCATTAGGGGACCTCTCTCTGTTGAACATTGAATTCTTGTCTTGATATAGGGTGTATTATCTGTTGTTGTTGTAGTTGACGAAGAGAATCAAGTATTTCGGATGACTATTCATTGTGTTCTTGTATATATATACACATATGGCTATTAGACTAACTGACATGTCATATTAGATGTGTTTCTTTTTGTCCATTTCAATTGGCTTTCTGTGGAAATATGATTTTATTTTATTATTACCCTGACATCATGGAATAATCTGTTTAGGTTGCGCTGTGTTGTAAGATGGTTGTTGTAGTAATCGTGAATGATAAGAAGGTCGTGCCATTTCGCTGAGAGCACCGTCCGGTTTGGCGATAAGTTCGACGTACATGACTGTTTCGATGAGAATGTTGATAGGGTCGCAATGCGAGATAAAGCATGTTGGCATATTCTGCTGGGTTCGACGTGTCGGGATTACGAAGAATGATAGTCTTCGGCTTCGTAGAGAGGGTAAACGAGCCCGAGTTAGCATGTGCATCGGGGATGTTGGTAGCATCGGTGATGGCGATAGCCTCGTTGGCTACTAGATAATTGATCCGGCCTTCGACTTTGTCGTGAAGAGCCGCAGAAGATACCCTAACTCCGAGACATAGAGGTCGGAAACGGGAAGCGGTAGAGCTGAGGTTCATTCCACTTTCTTTTCGTGTTCGGGGTGGTCCGAGTAGTCACCCCATGAAAGAGATGAGAATGTTGCCGAGCTAGCGATAGCTTGACGAAAGTTGGAAAGACAGGGTCTAACCTAACATCCTCCGGCAGTGAGTGCAGTGTTATTTTATGGCATGCAAAATTGAGATTTTAGGCATGCAGCGACGCTAAGACCCCTGAACTGGTCAGGATAGACGGTCGGTTGGATTCGAACCCGGTGGGTTAAACGCCGTGCTTGAGGAGGTGGAATGGGGGAATCTGTGATGATGGTGGGCGACTGTCGTCATCGCTCCTAACGAATCCCCTCTCAAATGGTAATTTTGACCCTCCCCGTATTTGTTTTGTACCTCCTGGTATTTTCTGACCGCATTCATTCTTGTCATGTCTGGTCCCCTTGAAGGTACCGACAGTGAACGCTGCGTCCGACGCGAGATCACGTAGATTAGTCGGATATGTTCCACGATTCGCCATCGTTACTGTCTTGGTCGCTCTATGGTGGTACACGGCGTGTCGCGTGTCGCTGAGGTCAGCGTCGTACTCGAAGCCTACAACGTTACGGCGTCTTTCACCGGGAGCTTTGTATGATTCTACACTGAGCTCTCGTTCAGGATGGGGGCACCCTCTGCACCCTGCGGGTTCGCGAACTCATTTTGGGAATACGTTTGAATCTGAGGGTTCGTAAAGTACATAAATTGGGCACCGAGCGCAGCGCCCGAAACGTCCATGACCTAATCGGCCGATCGGTTCCCTCTCTGATTCCTCTGAACCAACATTTTAATGTAATTTTATACCCTTTGGCAAATTAACCAATAGATAAACCCCTTCTTTCGAACTTTTCAATATTCATCGCCATCCCGGTCGCCAGTTTCTATAGATAGACTATGTGATTTGATTTTGCTATTTTTTTTTCGGATCATAATCATCGTGTGTGATCGTAATAAATTTAGTTCCGAGAAATTTCTGTAAGATGCCAACAAACTGGGGCCTGATGATCCATCGTGATGAAATTCTGAGAAATTTCTGACTCACAGATGGGATTAAAACTGGTGACCTCGTTATCATCAAATGTTATAGTGGATTCACTAAAATCCTTTACACAATTTACATGTTTGCCTTCCCTAACACCTAACCGAAAGGTCTATCTAGTGAGTGCGACTTCACTATCAAGTCTGAAATTGAAGCTGGAACACGGACTGCCGCGAAGAAGGCGGAAGTTTCGCGAGGTACGGTGTGCGGTAGATGTGCCCGAAAGCAACGGTGTGCGGTGGGGGGAATTGTGCACGGACAAGTTGTTTGATGCCAGCCCATGCAAAAAGAGCTGCCAATTTATCCTCGTCGTGAAAGGTGACACCTTATGCAGGCATCTCCAGCGGGCGGGACAGGAACGCTGTATCTCCAACGTGGAACTCGTACACCGTGGTTGCCGCCGCAAACGATGCTCCGTCTTCAGCACCGGCCGAAAGACCTAAAGTCACCGAAGACTCCGGAGTCGCTGTCCTCTCCCGCTCCACCCAGTCTTCGCGAGGGCGCGGCGTCGGAGATAACAGACGAGGGCGAGCCGTGGGGAACCAGCCTACCAGGTCTTCGCCGGCGAGTCGCCATCGCCGGAGCAGGAGTCGGAGCGCAGAACGTCAACAGCGCACCAATCCTTCGTCTAGGCGTGGGCGCAGCCGGAGCGGAGACCGTCGTGGGAGAAACACGCCTCCGTCTAGGCGTAGCCGCAGCCGGAGCCAGAACCAGAGCGGGGGCAATAGCAGGGGGACGGAGGTCAGGCCACGGTAACAGGCAAGTGATGTATGATCGAGGTGATTTTCGTAGCTCTGGGTTGTTTGGGGAGAACAAGGATGCTTCAGAAGACGGTTCTCTCTATTCTTCACGGCTTGTTCTACGCCCTCCCGCTGATGTAGGCCAACCGACCAGGTCTTCTTTGTCTTTCAAACTTGCCAACATGCAACTTCGTGAACGTTCAGCCGCTGTGAAAAGCCATGCCCCTGCCCATGCCGTTATGGATCATCCCACATCTTCCTTGCCTTTGGACGAACCTGTTGAGTCACCACGCCATGCTGCATCACACGCCTCGACTTCGGCCTCCCGTACTGAAATGCTGTTGGAACAAGTACTCACTCTCCTGCGAGCAAATCAAGTAGTGGATGCTGCTGCCGACGCGAATGTACAACCTCCTGTGCCCCCCCACGCTCCTAGCGTGCCACCACCTGCCCCATCTTCTTCCCCACCAACGCGTCCGACACCGATGCAAGACCACGCTTCGAGCTTTTCGGGAGCTCCTGTGGGACGCGATGTTCGTGCCGAAACCGCTGCCAGGACCACGCCAGCATCATCGTCATCAGCCACGAGGTCGGCGACAGTACCGGTCGAGCCTGCGGTGGCACAGTCAGCGTCGACAGCCCCAGCCCTGTTGCAACAGCCTTTGGTGGTATCGCCCCCCCCCCTCCAGCGTGCGTCTGTTCTGATTGATCCTGACTCTGCAACCGGCCACATCGTCGAGCCACCGAGTCAAGCGGCATCACCGGTGCCACAGGACGATGCTGGTTTGCCTTTGTCTTCCACGGGAGCGAGAGCGAGGCAAATTGCTCTGCACGCTGCGGACGCCGCTGCAGCGGAGGCCGACACCATCCGCATTCAAGACAAGATGGACAAGCTGAAGCCGGAACAACTTGATAGTGTCACACGCTTGCCCCTCGGTCCTGATCCTGATGAATTTGCTCGTTCCGCGTCTAGCTGCAAGGGGGTGATCACAGAGATCCTCAACAAAAGCGACGTCAAGCGCAAGCAGACTTTCAATTCCTCCACCTGGGTCACCGGATGGCTTCCGTTGTTGCGCAAACGTGTCCGTGCTGCTGTCGTTGAAGGCCAAACCACCAACCGTGCCACTCTGGAATTTCTTGATGCCACCTTCCTACAGGTAGAAAACCATCTGCGCAAGGAACCGGCAGGGCCCTCGACGTACGCCTTCTTCATCCAGAAATTGGCGGCCGCCTGGGACACTCAAGACAAGAGCTCGGGGATTGATCGTCTTCGCAGTTTTGGCGTATCCAACGACGAGACTTACGGAGAATACATTCGTCGCTATGAGGCTCTGGCCATGACTGTCATGGTTTCCCACCACGCCTTCAAGCCTTCGGATGCGCAAGTGCAGATAGCTGTTCGAGACTCCATGTTGAAGCAGTTTCCGGTAGTGTCTGGGCAGGTGTACAAGGATGAGCAGCTCTCCATGGAAGCCCCTTTTGGGCGACATGCTTCGTGTCTGGATGATATGTGGGATGTGTTGGACAAGCGTGCGTTCGCGCACACGCCGGCGGTGCATGGAGATGATTTTTTTTCGGTATCTTCCACGAATACTAGGAGTTCGTGTGCTGTTTCGCGTGCTGTAGCTTCTTCGGCGTTGCGTTCGACGGTGACCCCTTCGTGAAGCCAAGGTTCTTCGGCCGCCGTGATGAGTGTTGACCCTCTACCTAATGATGATCGGGACCCTTTTCTGTTGCACTACAGCGACTGGCCGTTGCAAAGACACTTCCAAGAGGTATACAACGTCGCTAGTGAGATGGCTCTAACCAATAATGATCCGCCATTGTTCACCCCCTTGGTCTCGGCTGCAGAGCGCCGCAACGCGCTTCGACTGTACAAGGGCAAGTACCTTAACTGCTTAGGAGAAGACCACTCCTTCAAATCCTCTAATCGTGGTTTCGTGAACGCCACCGGCTTGCTTGACAATGACATGATGTTCTGCATGGAAAAAGATCCCACCCTTTGGGGTCGGTGAAAAAAACGCATGACCTCGTGTAGACACCCTACAGGACGCAACCCACATCGAAATCACCCCTTAGGACGCGCCCGCCGCTCATCTGACACATCGGACACGAAACAGTCCTCACACACAGAGCACTCGTCGGACGCTTCCACTTCGACAAAAAGGGGCTGGAGGGGTAAGAAATGACAAGCCGATGGCGGAGTTCAGCCGGTACTACCGTCAACAGCAACCACCGTGCACCCTTTTGGAGTCTCCCAAGATGTTCGTGTACAGCCTATTTCTTTGGATACTCCCCACGCTCCTAAATCACATCTAGTTTCTCGGCCCGCCTCCTCGTCGTCCGCCTCATCGCCTGCTGGGAATGAACATGACAGACCCATTTCGGCAGTACCTTTGTGGTGTGGGCGACAGGGGGGTAAGACGTNACCGTGCACCCCTTTGGAGTCTCCCAAGATGTTCGTGTACAGCCTATTTCTTTGGATACTCCCCACGCTCCTAAATCACATCTAGTTCCTCAGCCCGCCTCCTCGTCGTCCGCCTCATCGCCTGCTGGGAATGAACATGACAGACCCATT